AATTTTTGTGACAAAATCTTCATTTTGTATCATTTTGAAAGTTTTCGTTCCTGGACAAATTTCGTTCCCGAAATTAGATATATTATTAAGCTACTTTTTTTTTTAAATATAGTTCCAAATGAATCTATTAGCATAAGAGGAAAATATTCCATCTTGCTATATAATGAATCATTGTTGACCAAGTGGTATTATAGTCACGATTAGTCGTGTTCAATCAGAAGCAATAGTATTCTAATTAAATATAACACTTTATTGCTGTTTACTAACTGTTGACACTAATAATCAAAGGAATATGTTTTAGTATATTATTGATGTGTATATCATTGGCAAATAAGATGAATGCGATATTTGTTCTCTGTTAAACAATACTCTCTAGCATAACAGCAGTACATCATGTTTTTGCAAGTGGATAATTGCATAGTATCAATGTCGTAAACAGCAATAAGGGAGTTTTCTGTTTCTGTTGCTAATCTGCAGTTCTGTACAAAAGGAAAGGATCGCTTTAACAGTAATATAATGTCATATATAAAAATATGATATATATTATGTGGTTATTTGCCAAAAATTCTATTAGAATAGTAAAGAATTTAATTAAGGAAGTGTCATTCTCATTTTATCATCGACTATACTTATTTTAATGCATTTCATCAGTTTGATATGTTTGATTGAAAGTGATTGAAAATTTTATGGGGGAAAATTTTTGTTTCCTACTTCTTTTTTTTTTTTTTTTTTTTTTTTTTTTTTTTTTTTTTTTTTTTTTTTTTTGTGCTTGAATTTTCTCAAAGACATTGTCGTTGATAATAATCAGTCGTGAAACGGTGATGAATTTCATTCAGCTGTATTTCATTGTCAGGGGATTATCTGCTTTGAATTAAGACTCCTTTGTTTAACGAGTACTGTTAAGTACGCATTTAAACTAACGAGATATGTAGAAAAGAAAACAGTAAGAAAATTGTGCTTGATACAATGATGCGTCATGTTGTTCAAGTTCGAAAAAAAAAAGTTCAAATGCTCTTGATCAAATCAGTATTATATCGAAAAGAATCAAAAAAAAAAAAAAAAAAGTCAAAGAACCATATCACTTGAACAGAAGCCTAGAGCAAGAGCGTGAGAGATTAGTAGTAGTGATTGTAATGAAATAATAGTATTAGTATCGATTATAATAACTATGGTAATAATAATATATATATATATATATATATTATATTATATTATATGTAATGTATGTATAATGTATAATATAATATCTATATATGTATATGAAATAGAGATGTAAAATCTTTCCGGAAAGATTAAATCATTTTTCAAATAAGAGCTCTTTTTGTTTTTAGAAAATATCGACGAATATTTAAGAAAAAAAAATTGAAAAAAAAAGAAAAAAAAATTATGGAAAAAAATAAAAAAAAGAAAATGAAACGAAAAAGAAAAAAAAACTTTAACTTGGATGTTATTGTACATCTTTAATATGTAATTTTGGTTGCTTTTCTAAATATTATCTCACAATTTAATTCTTAGTTTCAGCAATAACTGTTTGTGTTACTAATCTCTGTTAGCACTTCTAGTTATTATCCCTAAAAGTGTGTTTCTTTTCACACAATCAGTCGGATTATTCACGATTAACTTCTTTCTTTTCTGTACGAATTTGTTGATAAAATTAGAACGATAATAACGATAAATTATAAAGTACAAGTGATTAGCTATCTTACATTATAAAAGCCAGCTCAAATGTCTAAAAGTCTTCGCGTTTCTTTAAAACGTATATTTTAAAAAAAAAA